TTTTTTTTTTTTAATAATTTGCTGTATCTTTAAGTCCAAATACTGGAAAGCTTTCCCTCTGGTTTCCTCCACACAGGCCATTTGACTGGGATGGTTGGCACTGCTTTGTACGTAAGCCCAGAGGTCCAAGGAAGCACCAAGTCTGCATACAACCAGGTACAGAGCTTTTAGGAAAGGGAAAGTTCTCAAGAGAGAAATAATAGTAAGAACATCAAAATCACAGCATTAATTACCTGCTGAAATAGGAGCCAATTCATGCTCCAGGCAGGACATGTGGTTACTGAGGGCATGGACTAAAGCAGGCACTGTTGATGCCAGGACCTTGTAGTCCATCCATCCATCCAAAGAAACTGAGCTAACCCCTGTCCTGGGCAAGGTCCTAAGAATACAGGGGACAAGGCAATCAAGTGAATAAGACAACTGTGGCTCCAGTCCTCCGGGAGTTTTTCCAGTGGTGACTAAAACAGACAATAAACATATAAAAAAAGGAATAATCACAAATTATAATAAGGGCTATTTTTGCACCGAAGCAAAAATAAGAGTCAAATTATAAGACAACATCTTGTCTTTAGAGAGCATCTTCTCTAAATAAACTGATCAGGGAAGGCCTCCCTAAAAGGATGACATTTAGGATCATGGAATTTATTTGAAGTGCACAGGAAGCCACTGAAGAATCACGAACAGAAAGTTCACTCCAGCTGTGCTAGACACTCTGCAGAAGTCCAGGGGGAGAACTGGTGACTGTCACTGAAGTGGTAGCAATAGAAATGGAGAGAGTTGTGCTACAGTAGAGGGGAAATGAGAGATTTTCCTAATGGACTAGATGTTTGAAGGGGAAAAAGTTGAGGTTCAGGTTTTCTGCCTGGAGAACCTGGGTGAAAGGATAGTTGACTAAAGTGAGGAAATGTGGGCAGAGAGATAGGGAAGGGGAAGAAGATGGTAGAAAAATTTAGTGTGAGGTATGTAAGTTAGAAATGCCTGATGAGGAATCTAATTTAGATGGACAGAGGTTATTAGAGACCCAAGACTTGAGTTCAGAGAGAAGATCAAAGTCAAAGGTATAAATTTAAGGATTGTCAGAACATAGATGGGATTTAAAGCCATGAGAAGTGAGATCACCCAGGGCTAAAGTATAAATGCAAAATTTTAAAAATACATCAGCCAGGCAATGTATATAAAAGCAAATCGTCAGGATTGCATTGGAAACTCAAGCCTGGGTTTTATGCTGACGGAAGCATTGAGCAGCAATGCAGAGTTGAAACAGACCACAGAGGGAGATCTGTTACCAGAGAGAATGAGGGGAGTAGGAGGGTACACACCATGGGTACCTTAGGGTCATTTTTCTGAGGTAAGTGGAAGATTTTTATGAAATCTTCAAAAGTGCTTTGTCCTTTGGCCTGTCAATTCTACCTTTAGATTCATCTAAAGGAAACAACTAGGGAAGGGTAATGTGAAAGTGGTTCATCACAGTGTTGTTTCATATAATAAAAAATAACAGTGTCTGAAAATTGGGATCTATTTCATTAACTATAAGACTTCATGTAATTGAATACTTCATGACATTAACATCACATTTTAGAAACCCATTTTAGAAAAGTGATAATAATATTAAAAATATTCTCACTCTATTAAGTGAATAAAAGAAACAGTAATGTGGTTCTGGTTTTATAGTATGTACATGTATGAATATTTAAAAACAAAAAGTAGGATTTAGGGAGATCACTGTTTTACCCTTGGCATTTTCCAGCCAGACATGTAGGAAATGACAAATGGATATTTGTATTTAAGACTTTGAACATGACTGGGGATAAGTCAGGAGGTCCTCCTACTCTTTTTTTCCTTTCCCTCTTTTGGTACTGGAGACCTAGGCCAACGGTCTTTAACCACTGAGCCACATCTCTAGCCCTTGTAATTATTTTTTATTTTGAGACAGGGTCTTGCTGAGGAGCTAAGGCTGGCCTGAAACTAGTAATACTCAGCCTCCTTAGTCACTGAGATTAGAGGCAAGCACCATCCTGCTTGGCCTCCTACTCCTTTTTGAATCCACATTCATTTAAGAGGATTTCTTAAGAGTGGGCTCTGTCTCTCCTGGCACCTGATAAGGAGTAGTCTTTGCAAGCTGATTATGGCTGGCTTCCTGAGGGACACACCATCCTACTCAGTTGTGCTTCTTAGGCCCTGCATAGATTTTTAGTACACTAACTTACCCTTTTGCTTTTTTTTTTTCTTCTTCTCCTTTTTATTATTGCCATTTGTTTTTTGTCTTTTTGTATTCATTATTTAATAATTATCTTGAGTTTTATCTCTTTAGTGTCTTTGGGTTCACTCTATTTTCTTTCTCTGGCCTTTTGTTGTTTATGTTGTTGTTATTTCCCAATTTATTGAGGTATGAATAATAAATAAAATTATGTATATTTAAAGTATACAGTGTGGAGCTGGGGCTGTAGCTCAGTGGTAGCACACTTGCCTGGCATGTGTAAGGCACTGGGTTCAATCCTCAGTACCACATACAAATAAATAAAAATATTGTGTATCCACCTCCAACTAAAAAAAATATGTTAAAAATAATAAGCAAATATGTAAAGTATATGGTGTGATTTTTTTTTCCCCCAGGGATTGAACTCAGGAGCACTCAATCCCTAAGCCACATCCCAGCCCTATTTTGTATTTTATTTAGATACAGAGTCCTACTGAGTTGCTTAATGCTTTGTAATTGCTGAGGCTGGCTTTAACTCATCATGATCCTCCTGTCTCAGCCTCTTGAGGTGGTGGGATTACAGGCACGCACCACCGCTTTCAGCAGTGTGTGATGTTTTAATATTCACATACATTGTGAAATTATTTCCACAATCAAGCTAAACATCCATCTCCTCACCCAGTTAACTGTTGTTTTGTGTGTGTGTGGGGGGTGAGAACACTTGAGATCTACTCTCAGCAAATTTCAAAAATACAATACATTATAGTCACCATGCTGTATGTTAGAGCTCATTATAAGAATTTATTCATCTTATAAGTGAAAGCTTGTACCCTTTAATCAACATCTCCCTTTTCCCCCCAGTCCATAGCCCCTGGTAAACTACTATTCTACCTTGTTACTGTGAGTTGGATTTTTAATACAGTTTCCACATATAAGTGAGATCTTTAAGTATTTATCTTTCTGTTTGGCTTATTTTACTTAATATAATGTCCTCCAGGTTCATCCATGTTATCCCAAATGACAGGATTTCCTTCTTTTTAAAGCTTTATAAAATTTTGTTATTTTTCTCTTTCTCTCCCTCCCTCCCCCCTCTCTCTTCGTGTGTGTGTGTGTGTGTGCGTGTGTGTGTGTGTGTGTGTGGAGAGAGAGAGAGAGAGAGGGAGACCACATTTTCTTTGTTCATTCATCTGTCCACTGACACACTGATACCAACTTGACTGTTATAAATGATGCTGCAATGCACATAAGCAAGCAGATATCTCTGAGACAGTGATATTCTTTCCTTTAGGTATATACCAGAAGTGGTATTGCTATATCACATGGTAGTTCTCTTTTTAATGTTTTGAAGAGCCTTCATCCTGTTTTCCATATCAGCTGTATCAATTTACATTCCCAGCAACAGTGCACAAGAGCTCCCTTTTCTCCACATCCTCACATTTATTATCTTTCAACTTTTTGTTTTGGGGGTTTTTTGTTTTTTGGTTTTTGATGTTGTTGTTGTTGTTATTGTTGTAAACTGACACAGTACCTTTATTTTAGTTATTTTTATGTGGTGCTGAGGATTGAACCCAGTGCCTCACATGTGCTAGGCAGGCACTCTACCACTCAGCCACAACCTCAGCCCTCAACTTTTTATAATAGCCATCCTAATAAGTGTGAGGTGATACCTCATTATGGTTTTAATTTGTATTTCCCTGGTGATTAGTGGCGATGTGTATCTTTTTATATATCTGTTGGCCATTTGTACATCTTCTTTGGGAAATTTTCTGCTCAGAAAAAAAATGTGAACATTTACCTTTGCTGAGTTGTATGAGATCCTTACATTTTTTTCATATTAGCTTCTTATCAGGTGTATGTTTTGCAAACATTTTCCCCATTCTACAGGTTGCCTTTTAATTTATTTTTCCTCTT